GAGATTGGATGATTTCCTTAAGCTGGTGGAAGAACGGTGGCATGATCCGCATGAGGCTCAAAAGGTCACCAATGCGATATTGACCTTGAGCTCAAGAAAGTTCAGATCAGTAAGGGATACCACGGGCGCAGTTGAGCATCTGATCTGTGTTCCTCGAGTGCGATACGACTCCCAGGTCTTACTTACCACTTACCTGAGTTGTCTTCCCATGGAGCTCACGAATCATTTGGCGGGTGAGGCTACGATCACAATACACAACTTCCCCTCGTTCAGCAAGAAGGCCCTTGATCTAGAGCCAAAGATAGGGCACGGGCACCAACCCAGTATGGATGGTAGGAAAAAGACACTGCCTCCTAACTGGAAGGCCAAGGGGTACATTATGTTTGTTGACAACGATGGTTCCACCATCGAGTTGGAGGACGACTTCCAGTTGGGAGTAGGGTCAGAGTCACGTAGCGCAGAAGCTTCAGGGGGTGGAGCAGTCAGTGCCTCTGTAGAGAAAGGAGGCGACTGGTAGACGCTGCAGAGGTTCCCGATCAAAGAGTCAAGTAGACCCCAATGCTCCTCAATGGGAGAAAGCGAGGCTTACTGAGGACGTATGGAGAGACCGGTACGCTAGACAACTTGTATTCGCTGTGGCCAGTATGGTCATACGCCGTTCAAGTGCCGCAACCGAAAGGTCACGGAAAAGATCCCGCCTAAGATGGGACAGACGCAGACTAGCTTAGAGGAGCTAGAGGAGGAGTGGTCTAGATCGGACCCACTAGCTTCTTGGACGGCCATGGCTAAAGCTCCTAAGGGTGAGTTGTTCGTTGGCGAGGTAGATATAGGCGGCTGTAAAGCCGGGGCCTTCTACAATACCTGTTCGACGAGGAACTTTATCAGTCGCGCGTGCGTTGAAAGGCTGCGCTTGCACGGGCAAGTGCATCGCCTCAGTCGACCTGTGGAGTCGACGTGTGCCAACAAACAGAGCATGTCGTTTCCCGTACGCGGGAGGCGAACTGAGACATAGAATCTCGTTCCTACCTTCTTCCCCCGAATACAACGTACAGTCATTGTAGCTGTATTTAGACTGAAATGTACCCCAAATACAGCTATAATGACCGTACGTTGTATTCGGGGGAAGAAGGTAGTAAGCGATGATCTCCCTATGGATGTCTTGCTGGGTATGTACTATCTCTCGATTGTACAACCCAGTTTGATCGAGACAAAAGTGGTCAAACACACTTTGCTCGAAGGAGGGACCGCCAGAGCAAGTACTACCTCCTTTGTTCGTTTTTCACGGAAAGCAAGCCGTTACAAATATTGTTCCTCCCTCCCCCCCCCCTTTTCAAGAAAAAGCAAGTACTTCTTGTTCTGCCCTCCACCCTGTGAAAAAACATTAGGGTCCAGGGCTGTGTGTGGATAGTTTCGAAAACAACAAACGGATAAACCACCAGTACCTCACCCAACTACAAAACTCCGATGCGGCCGTTAATGCGCCACGTCGGGCGGGGTACCTACGGGCGAACGACCGGTACTCCCGAAAAAACGGAAAAAACAAAACAAAACAAAGCGAAAACGAAAAAAACTCTACAAAAAACGGGCGCGGCCGATAGATAGATAGATAGATAGATAGATAGATAGATAGAGAGAGAGAGAGAGTCACCACACCATTCTCAAAATGTGAAAAAGACAACAAGTGCTAGATGTATCTGCCCGTGTCTCACGGGAAGTTCATTCTCATTTTGCACATTTCGAGAGTGGTGTGGGGACTACCGAGTACTCGTCTTTTTCACTCCACAGTCTGGCGCTGGGTTTGCTGCGCCAAACCCGGCGTCAGACTGTCTGACGCCCTCTCTCTCTCCCTCTCTCTCTCTCTCACACACAACGCCCCACCCAGCTTGAGGAAGATTCATTCATGGTGGGTGGGACGTTGTGTGTGTGTGAGACGCCCTTTCTCTCTCTCTCTCTCTCTCTCTCTCTCTCTCTCTCTCTCTCTCTCTATCTATCTATCTCTATCTATCTATCTCTCTCTCTCACACACACACACACACACACAACGTCCCACCCAGCTTGAGGAAGATTCATTCATGGTGGGTGGGACGTTGTGTGTGTGTGTGTGTGTGTGTGTGTGTGTGAGAGAGAGAGAGAGAGAGAGAGAGAGAGAGAGAGAGAGAGAGAGAGAGAGAGAGAGATTCNAGAGAGAGAGAGAGAGAGAGAGAGAGAGAGAGAGAGAGAGAGAGAGAGAGAGAGAGAGAGAGAGAGAGAGAGAGAGAGAGAGAGAGGGAAGGGAGCCAGTCTTGGGTTAAGTGTTATGTTGGTAGAATCAACTTTGGAATTTTGAGTTGAGTTGGATAAGGCTTTGCAATGTTTGCATGTATTGTATTTTTTTTATTTATCTATATTCCCCATTCATGATAGTTGCATTTAATCGGGCGCCAACATTGACTCAATTTGACAGTAAACTTGTTGTGTGTAGTGGGCAGAGGGTGGGTTGTCTGCCCAACTTCCATGCAGCGGGGGTGAGCTTTCTTAGATGGGTCAAGAGAAGGGCGAAAAAGGAATGCCACCACTACCTTTTCCCATGTTCGCCGGCGTCGGCCCGCCGAATCCTTAGGAGGCTGAAACGAAATGACAGCTGCCGACGAGATTTATCAACGGCGGCCGTCGTCGGGCCCAGCCTCCGATTTTTAAGGAGTAGGAGGATATTTTATTATTTCCCCGTTTTCCCAAACCACAAGTACCCATCCCAGTGCTGTTTTTATTGCCACTCCATCATTTTGGTCTTTGTAGTTATTCAGTCAAAAAACTTTAAAAAAAGGCTGTTGTTTCTGATGCTCTTTTTTTCTTTTTCTCCCTCCCCCGCCCCCGCCCCCCCCCCAGTCCTCAGAGGACAGAAGGGAAGAGGGAGAAAGGATGGTGATTTATCCACTTCAGAGGTAGTTTTCACAACTTTTCAGTTGATGTCCCAGTATTTGATCTGGGTTTGAGCTCTTTAGCAACTCCACGTTTGTCTTCAAACCCAAAAGTCCCCGGCCTCGTCTCTTTTTCTTTTTTTTTTCTTTTTTTTTTTTAAACAGGGGGCCTCGTCTCATTATTTGTAATGCAAGTTGGATGTTTTGTTACAAAAGAAGAAGAAGGAAACAAGGACACTAAACCGGCTCTCGTTACTTTCTCTACAAGTAGCTCTCTTCACAAGCTCGACATTTGACTTTTGAAACTTATTATCTTCTTGATTTTCCCAGCTCTCTTTGTTTGCCTCTCTTTTACCCCAGCTATCTTCAGAAGCTTGCACAGTCAACTGCTGATTCTTTTTGTCTTTTTTTTCCGTTGTCAACAGACTCAGCACCCCTTAAATCTCGACTGCCGTCAGTTGGGTGCATTCCATTCCTTGATGTCAGAGTTTCTGAATTTAGGAGTCTAGTCCTTTTTTTTTTTTTTTTTTTTTTAATTTTTGCAGAACGCTGTTTGTTTTTTTTTGTGTTTTTTTCTTTTTTTTCCTTTTTCCATGGTGTACTACCGGTTGTCCGAGGCTCGGCAATTATCTAGCTACCGGTAGTCCGAGCCTCGGACTTGATAGCAGGACGAGGTACTGGTGGCTTATGCCCATAAAGGAGTCAGGATTTGGCACCTTGTTACATGGTGCTGGTTTGAACTTTGAACAGTGCAAAGTTACTCTGTGAAAGGGTTTCACGGAGCTTTCACCCAGTTCGCACAACATTGCAGGTTCCAGGACTTGGTCCCTGGATGTTCCCTAGTTCACTGCATAGTTGCCGTTGACCGTGTGTGCTTTGAACACGCGACCTATCCCTAAAACCGTGTACAAATGTTTTGTGTGTGCAGCTTGGGTCGTGTGGGTTTGATCCCTAGGTCTAGACTTTAGACGTCTTAGGGTCGTCTGTAGGTGGCCATACGCCCTCTGAAAGGTCCAGGTCATGGCTAGAGTAGTTCCTGAAGAGTCATCTGAAAGGTCAAGAGTCCCAAGACAACCCCGAACGGGCACATGAAAAGTCAGTCCCAGTGCAGTCCGTTTGCAGCAAGGAGCAGAGTGGGGACTGCACATCTCGAGGGCCTGGGACATCGGCAGGCCAAGACCACCAAACAAAACAGTATAAATAAAGAGGCAGCGATCAGTCGCTCACTCATTATCCGGGAAACTATGTGGAAGCTCTGCTCAAGTGACTTGAGCTTTGAGTTCACCGGTGGTCAGCAAGCAGCCCGAAGGTGGAAGAGGGTGAGCGGCCATAGCTGCTAGGAGGAAGACGAGGGCGGCCATAGCCGCCTATGTGTGTGAGCGTGAGCGCAGACATTCAGGGTAGATCTAAGTGTTGTGTGCGTACGTGCGTGGGAGTGTGTCTGGCGGTGGATACAGTGTTCACGTGGGAATTCCAGACTGATGCTCAGACATCATAGCCATGAGGTGTGACAAGCTGTTTTGAGCTGAATTCCTGGCCGAAAGCCATATCTCTGAGTTTTTTTTTGTCCGGGCCCACTGCGCCATCTCCAGTCTGTTGCTGATTCTGCATCTGTGGAAGTGCTGTTGCCATCGCCAGCTGCATGTATGCATGTTGACCGTGAGGTGTAGACAAGTCTGATTGCAGACTGTCATTTTCAACAAATTTTGGAGCAATTTCAATTAATCACACATTTGAAAGGCTAAGAGCATATTCTGGATTCGTCAATTTAGCTTCAGATGGACTGATGTTTCAAATACAAAAGAGGTCATCACGCTTGGGTAAATGCCACCCATTCATTTGGGACGAGACTTGAATAGCTGGAGTGCTCATCTATTGCATGGGAGTAAGAAAACACTCCGTAGTTCCCCAGAAAACACTCCGTAGTTCCTACACACCCATGCATGCAATTGGTACATTTCATTAGACGAAATCAAAACACTCCGNTTTCATTAGACGAAATCAAAACACTCCGTAGTTCCCCAGAAAACACTCCGTAGTTCCTACACACCCATGCATGCAATTGGTACATTTCATTAGACAAAATCATTGCCACTACTATACCTTCTGAAACAGAATGTCACGGCCATTTAAATGCATTACTCCCTCCTTCAGGGTACACTTCCATTTGTTTTTGGACCTCGTCACCTGCAACAGTGAGAAAAGTGAAAACAAGATGACATGGTAAACATTGAAGCAGACAAGCGTGTAAGATGAGAGAGAGTGGCCAAGACAGTGTGCTTTGACATGCCACTTCTCAGCGACACACAGCAAATAATGCTCAGCACAACTGAATCATGTCTCCCTATAAGACTGATGCACAACATACGTCAACCTCGGCATAGTCCTAGTACTACATGGATCTCCTATCTGGGCTCTCGTCTTCCACATGCAGCAGCTCTCATCCGCACGAACAGGAAATTGAGCCTATTTTCTCAAACATTAGTTTCCCCAACTGAAATCAACGGAACCAAAGCACTGACGAGTCGGTGTACAGCAGAACCTTTGTGAGATTGGATTACAAAACGAGTTTGAGATTCCCATTACACCACCACCACCTCCGAGCCTCTTTTTGCCAGAGCTAAAAGAACAACGCGGCAACTTTTGTTCTTTTGTTTGGCTGGCGCCACCAGCCATTTTGGTCCGGTGGCGCCCAGCCTCCAAAGAATGCAGTATAGGTTGTACCGCATTCTTAGGAGGTCTCGATACCACATTCTGCTGAGGTTTGCCTGTGAAAGGCAATCAATGCTGGTTTAAACCGCTAGATCATGGCCCAGGCCTTGTGGAGAATTGTTCATCACCTACTCCGGAAACATCGGAGCCGACGGGCCGTTGATAAAATATATCAGCACCTGGCATAACGTTTCGGCCTCCGAATGTGGCCAACGGCCGATATATGGCATGTGCTGGTGGTTTAACATAGACGAAGAGAAGGGTATGTTTTTGATGAGGGACACGCCAATCTTTCCAAGGTTGTTTGGCAGTAAGTTCCAAGTTTCAAACCATTCTTTTCACACTTTCTTTTTCCTTAACACTCTTAAAGCGTACAGCGGGTCTCGTGTGACGCTCCCACGCAAACCCGCTTTTCCAGTGTTGGGAAAGTCGTCGGGCCAACGGGCGGGCCCACGGGGAAGTGGCCGAGTCGATGCACCGTTTTTTTTTTCTTTTTTGGGGGGCCGTGAATCTCGTGCGGGGAACTGGGGAGAGATGGTCAACCGACCCCCCATTTTTCACCTCAATTTATAAGAAAACCATAAAAGGCCATTTCAAGCAAACTTCATACCAATGTATAGAGTGCACTTCTTACTAACATATTAAAAAAAAAAAACTAAAAAAAATAATGAAGAACATACAAAACAGCAAGCCAAAAGTGCATTTTCAATTTTTCAGGCAATTTTGCCAAAAAACAATTCATTAGATTTTCAGGATTTTCACCACTCTTAACAGCACAACTCCAAATGACACCAAATTTGACACACAGCAAGCTTGTCCAAAAACAAAAACAGGCAAAAGACAACAATCCAAAAAAACACAAAATTTGACCTGGAAACCAAAGTGGGGTCTGCATTGTTATCAACTGATTGGTTCGTTCTTTTCTGAATTGGTTCGTTCTTTTCAGACCAATTCTGTAATTCGTTCATTCTTCAACCTGGGCCTTACTTCTCCTTCATTCTGTGTGGACACATCCCTCAAATCCACCCCTCCCTTCTTCGCAACTCGGCCTCCCACTTCTTCCTCCTGCCTCCTACTCTGCCGCGGGCGGAGCCGCCGCGGGTCCCCTTGTTTTTTTTAATGGTCCAATGGACCACAGATCAGATGTTAAACTGATCCGAACAGATACTCCACTTGATCTTCGCCAAAAGACCGAGAAAGGACCACTTCTTTTCACACTTCTAGTTTGGAACAGATCTGTGACATCGCGTCATGAATGTATTGCAATTGATATGGAACGAGAGACCTGTGACGGTGCCCGGTCATCGAACACATCTTTGCGTCTAAAGTTTTCACAATATCCAATTGATGCAAGTGCAAACACTTCTTGTTGCCAATTGATTAAGTGTGTCAGAGCAATAACCCTGTCCAGCAAAACAGCAGTCAATGGATCTCTTCCTTGGGACCAAAGGATAAGAAATGCAGTGAAACAAGACAAATACATGGAGTACGGGGGGTTATGCCTCGGCATATGGCCCTGCAGCAGGCGTGTGTCCACCCTAAGTGAAGGCGTGCCCCGTGAATCTCAACACCCCCGGAACTCGTCAATTTTTCCAAATCTTGGTCGGTGCCAGACAGTTGCCACGCACCAGTTGGTTACAATCCGCCTTGCTCGTGAGAATCCAAAATATTCGTGAGCCTTCCAGGCTCTTCCAGCAACGTGGTCAAAGCAGGGAGCATTGCACATTTGTGCCTGGGTGGTTGGGCATGCGTAACCAATTCGGTCCCAGGCCACTGGCTGTGAATCGTGCATGGGCGCAGACACTTTGGCCGATTCTGAAGCTACTGGAAACTGTCTCACGTGGGGTAGCAAAGGCAAGCACCCGCCTCTTTCTATGTAGGAAAGGGCAGGGCGCAGGGAGAGGGAGTCGGGCACTTCCAAGCACATGCGGCAGAGCTGCCGGTTCTAGCACTCGTGGGGCTGCTGCTGCACTAGAGTGTGGGCAATTGTGCACGCGCGCGTGCGGTGGTGCGAGAAGGCGGGGTGCTGCTGAGGGCAGCGCCATAGCCCGCCCCATGTAGCCGGGGCTCGGCTTAAACATAGCCAGTGGAGGTGGTGGTGATCTTCGTGAATGATGGAGAAGATGTGGGTGATGAGGTCGAGGTTGAGAGAGAGAGCTGAGGTTGATGATGCGAGGGCACGTACCTGGTCTTGGCGATGGTCTACAACGGTCAATATCTTCATGTACTTCGGTTCTGCTACTGACGTCAACAGGATGCGCTGTCAATTCCTAGGTAGTTTGGGCGCTGAGCGCCCAGTAGGAGGAAGGACTCTGGATGCATATGTTGGTGGTGGCGAGAGTATGCTGTCATTGGCATTCGAATTTGGTACTTCGTTTCTCCGTTGGTGGAATATCAGTGCATTACTGCTTTCTTGCCAGCGTTTGGACTAGCTGCCTTTCAATGTGAATTTTCACTCTGGATTTCTGTCATTTCGATATCTCATTTTCCTCTCGACAATGCACCACCTCTGACGTGATGCTGAAAGGAACAAGTCAAATCTCCAAGTGTGTCCCACTCCCTTCAAGATTCATGTATCCTCCACATTCATCTCACTGCAACTGCACTATAGATCTCTATCGCACTCACCGCACTGCCATTGCAAGTGCATCCCACACCCATCCAGATTCACAAACCCGTGATGAATAGCCGTCATGTTTCGCTATAGCCAGACACAGTCAAGTACGGTATCATGCAAAACTGACACCTGCCGCAAACAACACCCTTTCCCATATGAGTTCATCACTATGCCGACTATGTGCTTTCTACAAGCGTCCTAGAATACACAGATAACATGGTTTAAGCGCGACATAAGCAACCAACCAAGGAAAGACAGAAAATCATACTGGATACAAACAATAGAGAATGCAGACCAGGGAGGAGGAGAGCGATGGACTGAAACCCCTACCTTGTCAAACTGTGCAAGAACTAAATTATGAATTGTGGGGCCTTCTTCTGGGTCATTCACATCGTCCGGCTCGTCATCATCATTTTCATTGAGTGGTGGTTCATCATCTTCCTCCTCCTCGTCCAATCTCTCCTGCTTCGGTCCCTTCATCCCAACATCTGACACCCCTGCAAGACAGACGATGTAGCCATCGGCATGGCAGAGTTCCACAGGGGAAACATTGCTGTCATTCCAGATGACGAAGACCGGTACCATTGTCATCAGCGCCACCACTACAAACCACTGAGTCATCCTTGGCACCAAGAAATAACGCCAAAAAAAATCAACACCAGTAAACAACGAACCGAAAAGGACAGCTCATTAGAGGATTTCTATCTCAGTCGAGATCAATCAGGCATTACAGGACATGGGCTGTATGAAACCAGGCAGACACCTAGGCAGTCACAGCAGGAATTGATATCCAGCCACAGCCAGCAGTGATGCTGTGATACCCAACTCCTTTTCCCTGAACTATCATTTTAGAACCGAAAAGGACAGCTCATTAGAGGATTTCTAGTCATCCTTGGCACCTGAAATCAGACTGCACTGTTATGACCCGGACCAATTGCGAAGTACAAATTCACCAATCGACACAATGTTCCCCAACTGCAAAAGGAAATGAATGAACTTGAGAGGATGGAGAGGATAAGAAGAAGAAGAAGAAGGAGAAAAGATTGGAAAAGACAATGTACACCAGCAAGAACCAATGTCAAAGCTCTTCTTCTTCGCTCAACTCCCTTGCATCTTATCTCCCCCTCCTCTTTATAAATTCAAACAATAAATAATACAACAATGTTGGAGTGAGGGTCCAGTATCACTGCCCAAGTCTCTCTTCTACAGCTGGACAACTATAAGGTCCACCATAGCCATAGCCGCCTCTCCTACCTAGGCTGAGGCTATGGCGGGCTGCGGAGTACAACCACGATGCTCAAAGGACTCCCCAAATGAGTTATGGCTGCCCCCCCCCTAAGTGCCGACACGCCCCAAGATGCTTCGGCGATGCTTGGAGTAGCTCCCTCCCTCGGAGGGCCTTCTTACTGCTGCTCCAAGGAGTAGGAGATGGCTGCCACCATAGCCGGTAAGTACCTCGGCTCCTTCTCTCTCCCCCCTTCTTCTTCCTCCTTCTTCTTCTTCTTCCTCCTTCTTCTTCTTCTTCCTTCTTCTTCTTCTTCTTCCTTCTTCTTCTTCTTCCTCCTCCGCTGTCCTTCTCCTTCCCTAGCCAAGCGCTGCTTGCTGCTTGCTATCGCAGCTCCCCAGCGCTGCTCCCAGCCCCCTGCTCCAAATGCCGTGCTCCAAACTTGTGCGCCCAGCAAATGAGGCGGAGCCTCTGGCTCTGCCTGGATATGTACCGCACCGCGTGACTCTTCGGCTGTGCCTCTTGGCCTACCGGCCTCCCCACACTCCGGAGACTTCCCCTGCCGAGAGGCGGGAACATCATTGCAGATTCTGAAGTACCCCCGACAGGCCCTGGACTCCTACTAGTACCCCCCAGCCTACCG